ATTCACTATCACTAGAACATCCTCCACAAGGCCTACTGGATTAGTAGTGCTCCTGTTTACTAGCTAGATGATGACACCTGTGGGCTGCAATGGTCCAAGAGATAAAGATGTGAAGATAGACAAAGGCATAACATTAATAGATGCACCTAAATCAAGTATGGCACTATCTATCCTATTGTTGCCTATAATGCAGGGAATAGTAAACGTCCCTGGATCTTTGCATTTCTCAGGCATGAAAGTTTTCTGCCTCTCAAAAAGGGCTGATACATGCCTCCCCATGTTCACTCTTTCATTACCCTTTAGCCGCCTTCTATGAGTGCACAAGTCCTTAAGAAATTTGGCGTACTTTGGGATTTGCTTGATAGCATTTAACAAGGGGATATTGACTTCAACCTTTCTGAAGGTATCCAGAATTTCTTTGTCAACCTCTTATTGCTTCTTGCTTCTTGCTGGGCTGAGCCTTTCTTTGAGGGAAAGGAATAGGAATGGACATCTCTTCTTTGTCTACCACTTTTGGTTGACATAGTGTGGGCATAGGTGCAGGCTACTCTTGGCTCTTAATCTCTCCTCCTTCATCCTCTGCAGCTAGAATGCAACTAGGATTCTTCTCTTTAGGTATCTCCGGTTCTTGCATCACCTTACTAGATCTCAAGGTAATGGCACTCACATTCTTTGGGTTTGTTACAGTTTGTGCAGGAAGATTGCCTGAACCTTGAGATTGAAGTTCATTCAGGGATGAAGCAAGTTGACCCATTTGATTCTCCAAGGTCTTGATACTTGCTTGAGTCTATTGCTGGAAAGTCTGACTCTATTGCTGAAAATTAAGATTACTCATAGTGAGTTGCTTCACAAGGTCTTCCAAGGATGACTCACTCTTTTGAGGTGCAGAAGCCAGTGAAGAGGATGCTTGATGGTGCTGTTGAGATGAAGATGATGGATGGTGATGTTGCTAGGCTAAATATGGCTTGTTTTGTCCAGCTTGATGTGGTTGGAAATGGTTGTTGGCTGGTTGGCTAGAGCTTTGATGCTGTGCATTTCCTCCCCACCTTAAGTTAGGATGGTTCCTCCAACCGGGATTATATCTATTAGAAGATAAATCTCAGCTTTGTTGTTGCTACGGCTGCTAAAAAGGAAATTTATTAGCAAAAATATTAGCAGCATAAACTTGAGGATTACCTTCTGAAGATTCAGTTTCCTGCAATGTGGGGTAACTATCAGTGAAGTGATCCGTAGATGAACAGATCCCACAAAGCATGGCTGGAATGGATTGAGGCGGAGGTGTATATGTAGCAGAATTTCTTTGGATGGATGCCAACTGTTTTACCATAGTAGCCAACTCATCTAGCTTATGCTCCAGCTTGTGTGAATCTGAAGTTTGACTTTCATTAACACCCCTGGACATGATGGAATTTTGCCTTGTAGCAAACTGTTGAGAGTTACCTGCCATATTCTCAATGAGGTTTCTAGCGGCTGCAGGAGTTTTATCAACTAGGGCTCTTCCGCTAGCTGCGTCAATCATGCTTCTATCCATTGGGTGTAAGCCCTCATATAAGTATTGGATTAGGAGCTGGTCACTTATCTGATGATGGAGGCAGCTAGCACAAAGTCTCTTGAAACGCTACCAATATTCATACAAACTTTCTCTCTCCAACTACCTAATACCACATATTTCCTTTCTTATTAAGGCAGCCCTTGAGGTAGGGAAATATTTTTCCAAGAACAATCTCTTGAGGGTGTCCCAACTTGTAATAGAGCCAGGTGGAAGATAATACAGTCAATCTTTAGCCAAATCCATAAGAGAGAACGGAAAAGTCTTCAATTTCACATGCTCTTCAAGCACACCTTATGGTCTCATTGTAGAGCAAACAATATGAAATTCCTTGAGGTGTTTATGTGGATCTTCACCTGCAAGACCATGAAATTTAGGCAAAAGATGGATTAGGCCAGTTTTAAGAACAAAAAGGGCATTCACATCCGGGTATTGGATACACAGTCTGATAAGTCACGTCTGGGGCAGCAAGCTCCTTAAGTGTCAAGTCATTTTCTGCCATTTCTAAAGGTTCAGAATTTAAAGAATGCAGAGAAGAATATATGGAAGATGGAGAAGATGATTCTTTAGTATGTGTAGAATTTTGTCTATTAAGGTTCCTAAGATTCTTACGGAATGTCCTATCAATTTCAGTATCTGGAGGATATAAATCTCCCGGATTTGATATGGTCATTCATTAGGAATTAGCTATGGAAATTGAAAAGAAGTAAACTAATGAAACAATAAAAATGCAAAAAAATTCAGATGACAATTATGTAGAAAAACTAACATCTAAGTGCAGTAAAATAAAGCATTAACACCAAACAGCAAAAACAGAAAGAAATTACAAACTATGGAACAAAAATATGCAACACACAAGCACAAATTCTGCAGAATTCTGTAGAATTATGCAGCAAAAATAGAGTAGAGTGTAGCAAATAAAAATGCAGTGCAGCAAACTAAAGTGCAAAAATTAGAATTCACAAAATGTAGAAAACAGCAATTGGTTGTACCTAAATGCAAGATATCTATACTTTAACATGTTTATGAAAAAGAGAATTTACTAAACATGCAAAAAACGAAAATAAAAACAGAGCAAATAACATGTTTATGAAAAATCAACATTAATGTCCCCGGCAACAGCGCCAATTTGATGAACGATACTTTCTCATGTTGTGTTTAAAAGATTTGTCGCAAATCCTCATCAAAATTTAAACAAATTAATGTACTACTAGGGTTACTCTATATTGTCTCCCGTGAACATTGACTATTAATCTTCATTAAACATGTTGAAGGCATTAATTGAACAAGCAATTAAAATGGGAGATTTTGTGGTTTCAAATCAAAATAAAGAGCAGCAAGCAAACAAGTTTAGTTAATTCAAATAGTAGAAAGTAGCAATCCTTAGTTTATCCACATAGATTCTATCCTCATTCCATTCAAGATTTAACATTCATCCTCTCTCCCATGAACTATGTTAATTTAACAAGCGAAAATCAACCTTATGGTCCTAATGAAATTACGCAATTTGCTAGGCTCTAATCCCTCGTCCCAAAGTTACGCAACCTTAGAATTAAACCTAGAATTAAGTAATCCCTAGTTCAGAATCTCTTTAAAACAAATTAGGGTAAATTAAGCAATATCCCGCTCATTCACCATTAATTCAATTCAAGAGACAAGAAGTAATTCATGACAAGAAAGGAATTATGTTATCATTAAAATCAAGGAACTCAAGAATCCATGTGAACTCACTAAGGATTACACAAAATTAGCCCTCCATGGAAATGGGGTCAAAAACACAGTTGGGAAATGCAGAAAACTCATTAGCATTAATGTAAAAGCAAGAGAAAATAAGAAGCCAAACCCTAGGTTGGCCCTTGGCTGTCACCCAAGGTTGCCCTAAGCTCTGAAAAATTGTCCTAATTTGGCAAAAATCTATTTATATTAAAGCTGACACCCTCCAAAGTAATTACTTTCATTATTTCATAGTAAACACGTAGAGCATCAGTTGGATTTTGCCTTTCTGTAGTGTCTACTATCAACTTTGATAGTAACTACGCGCAGCACTGGGACATTTTGAACTCTCTAGAGTTGTCACTATGAACTTTGATAGTAACTACGCACAGCACCTTCAATTCTACATACTCTAGAGTGATTACTATGAACTTTCATAGTAACCACGCGCAGACTTAGTGGATTCTGAGCTGTTGTAGTTGTCACTTTTAACTTTGAAAGTGATCACTTTGGTCCTTTTGCTGAAAGTAGCTTGCTGTAGTTGTCACTGTCAATCTTAAAAGTAGTTACTTCACCTCAAATTTCTCAAAATCCAATAATTCTTCAAAATAAGCTTGGAAATTCCTGCCACATTATTCAAATGATCAAAACATGTAAAATAAACTATCTAAATCAATGTAAATTAATCAAAAACTAAGAATTCTATATTATTTAGCCTAATCGGAATATTCATCTTATTTACACTATCTAAGTCTATTCTTTTCTATAAAAAGTAATAAATGAGGCATAAAAATTTAGTAAAATGTGAATTCATCAGTCACGTTTATAACAATGACTATCTATAATCGTTCCATCATGGCTCAAGCCTTGGCATAATATTGCAACCTACTTTAACTCAAATCGTGTCGATTATATGCACTACGAAGCCTCTGTTTTAACATGAACTAGTGAAAGAAATTGTGTCATTTATACTATGTCTGAGTTGATGAATATTGATGGTATTTAAAATGTTGCATTTTTTGGCGGCAGGTTAGACATCAAATATTTACAAATACAGTACCGATTTGTGGAATGATTTGGGGTTGAAGAATAGAGAGATAGTTTACCTTGACCTATGACAAATTGGACAGTGGTGGGGAGGTGAGGAAGGCAATAAAGAATCGAAATCATGATAATGAAGATTTGAAGGTGATGGCTGGATGAAGCAAGCTGATGAAGAAGCAAGATGACAACTAAGATGAAGAACCCTAGTCGTTTAGAGCCATTCTTCAAGTTTCACAGGAACCAAAACAACATATACTAGGTTTAGGTTAAGTTTATTATAAAAAAGTCAGGGATAGAGTAGTCATTTTTAAATTTTTATTATGTCTTATCTTATATCCAAACACAATACAAGACACAATACACTACATTCTATTCTTACTTCTAATCACAATACACAGACACAATACACTACATTCTCTGTCTTTCATTATCTCATTGTCTCTGTCTCTAATGTCTAAGGACAATATCCAAATGCTATGTAAAAGAACAAAGACATTCAGCATGAAACAAATGTATAAGGCTGTCAATAAGAGTGACTCAACTAGCCTACATTAGACAGCAAATATTAACTTCACCCTAACTTTAAACGACTAAAATGACAAAAATATAATATAAAAACATAAGTGTAATATTGTTTATTCTTTAATAAAAATATTATTTTTAACTACTTAAAGCTTAAATTAACAAGATCGAGGAAAATATTAGATTCTTCATTGTCATAAAGAACACGTACTAACAGTAACAGTATCTTTCAATTTCTGTTAATATCAATTCCCCGAGTGAATCACAAACACACAACACTGTACAAGGAACTAGGGATCCAGACACAACCTTTGGGAGAAAATATTAAGAAACAAAATAAGGATAAAGTGAAAAGGATGATTGTCATTTAACATATGACATCAACAATTAAACGAAAGCCTAACGGTATTAGCTTTCAAAAATTTAATTACAAAATTTTAAAACTGTAAAGACATGATTAAAAACTTGATCAAATTAAAGGGACTCAGGCAGAATATGATCAATTTTGTGGGCGCGATTTTGGTTGTGCTCTAACTTCAGTAGTGTTGGACAGCACAGCACACACTAGCCAGATAGCAGATAAAGCTGATCGAAGCCTATAAAATAGTCGACATTAAAAAGATTGTTAACAGATTGTACCCCAAAACATTCAATTTAGGACCCAAAAAAAGAAGGGGGAAACCTGCATCCCCAGTTCCCATTGATGCCTTTCAACCTGCAACAAAATAGTCATTCTCCTGGAATAGTAACAAACAGGTATAAGGAGAGGGTAAGAAATTCCGCTAAACACGTGCTTTCTTCTTTTAAATAGAATTACTGTACATCCTTGTAATTTCAACAGAACACCACACTGGGGAAATATAATTAAATAACATCTTTATCTATTTGATACATTGAATAATTTTACAAATCTATTCCATAAACACTAATATATTACACCATGCACTTCACATTATATAAACTACACAAATTGGCGAATTCAAGTTCTGTACAAGTGTATTCATCTTTGACTAAAGATGGCAGCTCCAACTAATCCCAACCATATTGTCAAGCCAACCCAGAAAGCTCGACTTTTCCCTAACCCAACGGGAGGTTTCCATACAAGGAAGTCCCCAAGGTAATCTCTAGATGATGGAAGCTGATTGGTGACTGACCCACTTCTTCGATCCTTGTCCTTGTATTTATCACTCCATGTTCCCGCATAACTACAATTGTGTCATAAAACATACTTCACTTGATATAATCACAAAGCAACATGAAAGAGATAACCCACAATTTTAAATATGCAGTTATATGGGCAGACAATAAAGTGCTCGTTTGTTTTTGCGTTTCATCAAGCAAAATCAATTTTTTATCAAAATCTAACAACCGTGATAAAGTATGCCAATTTCCGAAAAAAGTTATGCAGCAGCGATAAACTATGAAGAATCGACTCTTGACAACAGCCAATCATGTTGAAGGTTGAATGATGAAATTTTGAAATGAGCAGTGATTGAAACGTGAAGACTCAGATCGATCATTTTGACTGTCAAATCAATGGATGTATCTCTGCATAATCATAATCCATTGCTTAGGTAGTGGCTTTTGATTGCCTAAGTGCGCTACTGGCAGAAAAGCCAATTGTAATTATGCCATTGCATAGCCACACCAAAGCAATACGATGGCAGAGGCTAAGAGCAATCTCTCTGGATTCCCATCTCTTAAGTGGTGAAAATCCATCACTTATGCAATGAGTTGGTAGAACTCTTCCTTGCTTTACAAACTATCTTCCACTTAAAAGCTAGACAACGATCTGAACTTTTCCGTACTATAAGTATTTAAAAGTAATTTAAGTAGTTAAATGCTTATAGAAAATTACACTGCAACTCACTTAACTCTTTAGAAAATTTTAAATAAGTCCCTATATAATAATATTTGTAAGTCCTTCAACTTTCAAATCCATTTTAATTGGGTTGCTGCCCACATTGTAGTTAATTGAGGGACCTAATTATAAATTTTTAAACAGTTCCAGGACCTATTCGATAATTAAACTAGTGAACTGGTCCTACACTTGTCGAAATCCTATGGAAGGACCCAATTAAAAATAATTTAAAAATTCATGTACCTACTTACGAAGTGTTAGTATAGGAACTTGTTTGAAATTTCTCAAGAGTTCAGGGACCTACAAATTAATTTAACCTAGAAATAACAAATAATTCTACATCAGGATTCAAGACCAATTCACAGAAAACAAATAGCACTGACAAGGCCATGTGCCTGTATCCTAAGTAACGAAAATTTATAATACTTGAACTTCTGATAGAAGCAGCACCATTCTGTCTCTTATATCATTTGAGAGAACTGAGCAATGACTCTTGTTGTTAAAGGAGAGATCCTTTGTGAGGGGAAACCCTAGTAAACGAAGAATCCTTTCTCCTATATTCTTCTATGTAATTCCATTCAAGCAATAAAATCAGTCTTTGAGTAACTAGAAATTTGGTCTGACTTGCTGGATCCAAATCCAGAAGAAGAAATAGTCAAATCCCTTGCCAAGAAGAAATGGTAAATTCCATAGTGTTCTTGAAGCAGGGGACCGGCAATCTATCTAAAATGTTCCAACTGTAGGTGAAGAAACAAGAAGCCAAACTAGAACCAGATGGGTTATTGTAGAAGGAAAGTCCGTGACGAAGGTAGCAAGTACTCATGGACTACAGCCTCGTTCATAGGATTTCAACATTTTGGAGATTAAGTAGATGCTGAAATGATTGCTGAAACTCCATGACAAAGGAGGATGATAGAGATAAAACCCAATAGCGAGAAATGATATTGCGGTGGAAGAAAATGGAGATGCACATGTGGGTCACTACCCCGGAAAGTATATCCACTAGATAAAGGCAAATTAACCAAGAGGATCTTTATCAATTCTGAGTATGTCAAAGGCACCAATAATGTTGGTATCCAAATGAAACAACTACACCACTAGCCAACCAATATTCAATCAAAGGCCAGGCAGGATGAATTGCAAAATCAGTATCATAAATGCTTTGGGATAATGCATGTTTTAATCAGCGACGTCATATGTGGGTAAAGTATTATCAAAAACCACAAAATGAATACAGATAAAAATGAAGTAGTAAGTTAAAAAGTGAATCAAGCGCCATCATATATAAGAGACAAAATTGGAAAAAAAATAAAAGACCTGTCATAACTAGAGCCAATCAAGGGTATAGTCACCATCTCCTCCTGAGTTATCTTGAGCTTCGGCGCTTGCAAAATGTAACGAAGCTCCGCAGCTTGGCGTCGAATGCTAATACTGGGATGCGTCTTTTCTAATTGCTGGTACAGAGCAATGCAATCTTTATGGCGATTATAGGCCTCATAAGCCATGGCCAGCCATATTTGTATCTGAAATTCACAATTTTCTTATTTCCACAATTACACATAAATCCTCACTTAGCCACGAAAGAACCAACCAACCTCACCACCAAACAACGTAGGTCTGGGTATGATAGTGAGTGCAGCTTCGAAAAACTCAATGGCACGTCCATAAGAACCCTTTCCGTAAGCTTTCTGACCCAAATCAAACATCAACTGAGCAGTGGCTCGCCTCTCTGCCTGTTCCTTCGCCACCTGATGCATTCACCCAATCAACAAACGACACGTCATCAACAAAAATAAACAAACAATGACACTTAACCTTCTTAACACTCTATGCAATAATAAAAGGAACACCTTTTCCAGCTCTTTCCTCACTCTCGTCCTCTTCTCTTCCTCAGTTTCTTTTTCAGTTCCTTCTTCGCTACGACTTTGCAGTTCTTCGGCCTTCTTCTCGAGTTCTCTCCTCTCTTCGAACTCCCTCACTCTACGCCGCATCTCCTTCTCCCAATCCTCGAACGCGCCCTCCTCCTCGTCGCTATCGAAGTCCACACCGTTTTTCTCCGAGTTCGACTTCCCACGCGCCACCACCACGCGGCTCCGCGCGTCTCCCTCGGAAGCGTAGCAGGAGGAGGAGGAAGAGGAGTCCCTTTTAGAAGAAGGCAAGCTCAAAACGACGTCGGCTCCGACGGCACGTGCCTTCCTGTCCAGAATCAAGCTCCGCGGCGAAGCCATGTCAAGTAGTAAAGCCAAGTTTCCAAGGTTCGCAGCCATGGCGGCGAAGAAAAGGAGTGAGAGAAAGAAAGGGTTGTAATAATGAGGAAGAGGGACCGTAAATATCTTCAATCGCTTCTTTTTTTATGAGTGTTGGCGTTTCCTGTAGAACGAGATGGGAACGTGGCGCCGTGTAGGCCAGTGCCGTGTGGCACCTTCTCATGCCTAAACGCTGTCGTTTTGTGAACTTGTCATGAACCCCTTTCCCATTACTTTCCTTTGGTACATGAGATTGTTGTTTTTGTTTTGCAAAACATGGTTCAGGTATGCTTGGCATTACGTGCATGTTTCCCCTTTTTTTTGTTATTAGATAGAGCGGGGAAAAGAACCAAACTAATTTTGAAATCAGTTTTTATTAGTTTGGTAAATTTGATTCATGTATTAAATGAGTTGAATTTGAGTTTAGTATAAACGGCTTATTTTTTTTTATTATAGTTTTATATTTTAAATTTACTAAAATATGAATTTTTGACAAATTTACATAAATATAATATTTTTTAAAAATATTAATAGCGATTTTAAGTGTCAATAATTAGTTATGATTAAAAGTTGCCATTGATAATTTTAAGTGTCAAAATTATTAATTTTATTAATAAAAAATGTCATTGTTAACTTTTGAAAAAGAAAATTTTTTGCGGACAGTCAAAAATTATTGGTGACCTTTAATCCTAAAAAATTATTAAAAAAATATCTTGCTTAGTATTAAATTATCATTGACAATTTTTAATTAGTAATGTTATAAATACTGTAATATTCATTGATAAAAAGTCGCTCATAAAAGCTTTTGAAGCATTTGTTAGTTCTATGTTGCTATTCATTTGTGTTTTGTGTTTCTTAGAAAACAAATGAGTGTAATAATTTTTATTTATTTTAATAGTAATATTGTAACAAATACAAGTGAAGACGTGACATTTATATGCAAAAAGTCAACATGTATGTATATTTCATATAATATATTATTTGAGGATTTAAAGTATTAGTTTTGTCAATGTATCAAAGTACGGTTTCCAAAAGTAATGGAATGTATTATGTATCGATGTCCAATCTCAATATTTGGCAATTTCATGTAATATCATACAATTCCAGTAACTAACAATGATGATGTTCAACAAATGTAGTGAATACATCAACGTCACCCTCTAAGTAGTACTATAACACCCCAAGTTTTGTAATACTATTTCGATTATTAATATAAGTGTGTATGTAATTGTTATTTGGATGTGCATTTTGAATTATGTGGCAATGTGAATGTGTATACGTACAAATATGTATATGTGGGTATTATGATTTTAAATGTGAATGTTGACTGGTGGGTGGACTAAAATGTTTGAGAAATAGGCTGAGGTTGAACTATAGGGACATTCTCGCTGTAGCAAGAGAATTCTTGCTGTAGCAAGAGAATTCTTCCTGTAGCGAGAAGGTCCTGAACAAACTTGTGTGTCTCTTGCTATAGCGAGAAAGGTGCAGGTGATGAGGTGGCCTCTGTTCCATTCTCACTATATTGAAAGGAGTCTCGTTGTAGCGAAAAGGCAACAGAGGCGTAGTTTTCTGGGCTTAGTCTCACTACAGTGAGAGGATCTCGCTGTAACGAGATTATGCAGAAAATAAGATAGAGATTTATATGATATTTTTGCTGTAGCGAGAAGAGGTCTCATTGTACCGAGAATATCGTGACTCCTGGGGTATTTAAGGAGTTTAGGGTTCGAGAAACACATTTCTTACCTTTTCTCTTCATTTCTCCTTCGATTCTCTCGACCTCTCACCTTATTTCATTGATTAAATTGCTTCCAAAGCTGATTGTGTCTCAAATGTTTGAAGGTAAGTTTTGTGAGTTAGGGTTTCCGTTTTCACCCTCTCTTCGTCCCTCTTGATTTCTCATGAAGTTTTCCATGTATTTAGGATAAAAATCTGTAAAAGGAGCAGTTCTACCATTGATTTGTATCGTGGGTCTTCAATCGGAGGTAAGGGGGGACTCTACCCTCCTTGTGTTTAAAATTCGTTTAAATCGTTATGTATTGAAATGTGATTGAGATGGAAAATAGGAAAATGTGTGTAGTGATGGAAATTTCGTGTTAATCATAATGTAGTAGATATTGGGTGATGTGTGTGATAAAATGACTTTATTTGTAATAGGGTTGTGATGAAAATTGTGTGTTTGAGTATAATGTGGTTGAATATGTGTACCATTAAATAATTGAGAATGCGGATGAATGTGTGTGAATACTATATCGATTGTGATTGTAGTTGTAATATCCTAAAATCAAAAATCCGTACAATGTATATTTTATCATTTATAATTTGAAATAAAATATGAATTTCGTGTATAATGGACTTTATTATAGCTAATAAATAAAGTTTTCCTTAAGATATAGTAATTTATACAAAAATTTACATAATATGTATTATAACGGATTACTAAATGTCATTCTATAAATAAATTTGGTGTAAATAAAATTTTTCTATATATATGCACTATAAATGGAATAACAATACTTTTAAATATTGTAATAAAACATAGTCAAATATTCAATTTAAGAAATCAAAATATATGAGACTTAAAATAATATTTACATCACATAAACAAATATAAGTCCTAGAGCAGTCTCTAACATAACCCAACACTGAAGATCAGTCCTATTCATCAACCTCATGCCAGCTCTCTATCTCAGCTAAATCCTTTAAATCCAAATCATCATCTGATCTCTGGTAGCGATCGCCTGAATCAGTTATGACCTCTGTGGTCGTGATAGTTGAATAGATAAAGTGATGACTGCTGGAGTTCTAATAATACCTCTATACATATATATACATAAAGTTTGATGTATTCTAGTCCTAGGAAAATCAAAAGGAATAATACAAAATAAATCCATTTCTAACATAACAAAAGTCCTATGTTTATCCTCCACAAGAACAGCAAATTTAAAATACCACAGTCTTTGATATTCATTAAATACATAATTTAACTTATTATGTATTGATCTTTCTATTAATCTAACTCTTCCCTGAGACTCCGTCATCCGAATTTCCTGAAAATATTAATAAGGATGAGCGTCTATTCTATCTTTTTTCAAACATTATATCACAAAAATCATAATTTATAGTATAAATACAACATATTCATATTTACACTAATTTCACATAACAAATATATTCAAACACACATCATTCACAATTTATTATCTATTATCCATCTTCTCATTCCAATAAGCACTCCCAGTGCATTGTGATCACAGATATGGATGCCTCCAGCATTTCTTAAGGTCTTACTCAACTAGGTAAATAGTCGTCGGTTAGCCCATATGCGCAGATACAACATGTACAATAATTGGGCCCCTTAGCAAAGACATAGTCAGAAGTCTAGTCAGAAAACGAGTGTGAAGCCATGTGACGCATTCACTCTTAAAAAGAGTGTGGACACATACGTGAATGTCGCTCATCACCCTATGTTTCCCCTAGATATTCATCGTCTCTGGACTCTATATCCCCAGTGTATCTCTATAACTATTCACACTAGATTCAATCCATATTCAACTTTCAAAGTCATTCTCAAAGTTGTTCTTTTTTCCACTCATAAGATCATACTTAGTAAAGCACTTATAGACTAATTCCATTCCAATTCATTCCACCCATACACTTATTGATATAATTACAACTGTTAAATCCTTTCAGATCAATATCATTTCAGCATATTATGTTACTCAGATATATTTCATAAAATCTCATAATAACCACTTAGCAAGTTTAATAATATTTCACATCAAGTACTCATCATATATTGCATATACCAATCATTTAGTCTAAACAGCCAATCAATCTAAACAATCAAACAAACATCTTTTTATTCATTATTCACACAATAAATATCTTAATCAAATATTCTCATAAGATGTTCATGTAATAATGCTCTATGAGCACAAAATAAATATTATAATATAGCTATAAAATAGAGTCTTCCTTACCTCAAAGACGAGTTTACTAACAGATATTGAAAAGGACCAAGGATTAACTATGAAAGTTCTCATAAATACCAAGAGATATCCATAAGAAACAAAAACATGAAAAACGATAAGAGAAAATTAAGTTTAATTTGAAGAAACTTACTTGAAGTCATTTAGGTTTAATGTCCAAGCTCGGCTCTAAAGAAACATCAGAGTTTCTGAGGCTTTTATCTAGGTAAAAGGAAGAGAGATTCAGAGAAAACTGAGAGAGAGACGTGAGTTTAGAATGAAATAAAATTTTTATGCTAAAAATCTCTTAAATACCCTTTAGCCCATCGCACTCTCGCTTGAGCGAGGAACAGCTTGCTTGAGCGATGATATCACGCTTGAGTGACTAGTCTCTCACCTAAGCGAGATATGCAGACAGTGGTCTTGCCCACTATTTTCTGATATGCTCGCTTGAGCAAGATCACTCTCGTCTTGGCGAGGTGACAATTGAGCTGTATTTATCTTATCTCGCTTAATCTCTCCTAGGCGAGATTTACCTCGCCTAAGCAAGATCTCTTACACCAAAATTCTTCCATAGTCTCTTTTAAATGCACTCTAATACTACTTAATATTAAACAAAACATAAATTACCAAAAAATGAAAAGATGATGTTATAGTGGTTGTGTTTGAAGTGGTTGGAAACTATGAATGGTTACAGCAATACACTAAGGGTGTGGAAGATGGGGGCGGTAGAAATACTTTGAGAAAAATAGGGTGGTGGTGACACCAACAGTGAGCTTGGGTGCATCACAGGCTACATACTCTTCTCCTAACTTGACCTCTGACTAATACCTTTGCTAAAGGGCCTATGACCGCACATGTTGTATCTGTGAAGCTGGAGCTAACCAGTGACCATCCATGGTGTGAAACTGAGCAAGTTCCTGAGGCTGAGGGCATCAGGAAATATAATCACAGTGTCATAGTGAGCGTGGCCAATATGCAGTGAGAACACTTGTGTGTGGATTGATGTAAGGTACAGTGAGCGCACTTGTGCATGATTGTTGTATGATGACGTTATATGGATTGGTTGTGCAGTGTTTATACTTATTTGTATGAGTTGTCTTATGTTGTAGTGTGA